AGGAATGGGCAGTGACTAGGCACAGTCTCTCCACACCTTTTTCCATGGAGTAATTAAGGCCTGCCCCAGAGTGAGAGAGCACTCCCTGCCCAGCTGTGCAAAGGAGAGTTGAGAGCACCACCACCACCAAGCATGAAGCTCCTGGACATTGCCTTCTTTTTCCTAGCTGTACTCTGTGTTTGTACTGTGGGAGGTAAGTTCTTTGGCTTTTTTTTTTTTTTTTTTTTTTATAGACTTGTCACATTTGTGTGGTGTTTTGTGAGCAGAAGGTTAGCTGTCAGTAGCTGGATGCTTTTTTTTGTTGGTTTTGTGGCATTCTTTTTGGTTTTTAGTGCAGTTATTGAAAGACTGTGTGTTGGAGAAGAAGGTACTAACTGGTAGTTATACCAGTGTTATATGTGTTCTGTGAAAAACTTTTCTGCCATTGTATTTTTTGTGACAGTTCTTTCTAGGTGTCATGAAGCTCTTCAATCTGAGAGGAGTTGAAAACAGAGGTATATTTGCAAAGGTTTTTCTGTTCTGTTTTTCTTATTTGAAATAAAGCATCTTTTGAAGAGATGGCTTTAAGGGGTTCACTGAAATGTCTGTCAGATTTTGCAAAAACTACTTTTGCAAATCAGATCTATCCTGATGGATTTCCCTGGTACTAAGCCAAAAATAAGTTGGGCCAAGAGTATCTGTCAGAAATTATCTTAGTTTTGTCTCAAAGATACAGGGGCTTACAGCATTTATCAAGTGTCAAATGAGAGATGCAAGCCTAGAGGTGATACTAGTTACTGAGTGCACTACATTTTACAAGCAATTCTCAAATGCATAGATTTAGCAAACTTTGTGGTGTTCATGTTGTCACTAAATTGCTGTTTTCATTACTCATCAGCTTGAAAGATCATGCTTTTACAGTGGAATTAACTACTAAGACCTGAAAGGGTGAGAGAAACTGTAACAAGAGCTAAAGTCGATCATCACCTTTGTCAAAAACCTGCTCTTTATCTGTACTTTCATTTGCTGGTCCATTGGTGTTAATATTTATGACCAGTGCTTCCACAAGTGCCTGTGGATTGCTTATAACAGATTTTATGAACCTGAAGTTTAAGAATTGATAATACTAGATTAACGGATCTAAAAAAAAAGTCAAGTTTTGCTCAGATTATGTGTTAAAATCTAGGAAGGTCTTTTGTGATGTAGCTTTTGGTATTGCTTGTGCTCAGTGCTGTTAGAGAAAAAAAAATCAATAAAAGAGATTAAAAATAAGATTGTGACACAGAAAGAACTGCTTTTAAAACTATGTAAAGTAAGTACAAGACCTTAAATTCTGTGTTGAGGTACTATTTATTTTCTGTCTGCTAGTTCTAGTAAAAATAGCCTTCCTGTTATTGTTAAACCTTTATTTTCACAACTTCTGAAAAGCAAAGTGGAGTTTGATCAAAAGGAGCATATTTAACACAACAGTCCATAAAGATTATCAGATGGCAACATGTAAAGGTGGGAGGATTTCTGTTCATTTTATACAGTCCTTTATTTAAAAATAATTTTTCCTCCTCTGCATTGTTTGAATAGGGCAGAAGTGATAACAGTGAGTAGGCAAATTTCATATAGGATGCATTTGCTCTGAACAGTTTTGGTTTTGTAGAAGTGTGGGGTTTTTTTAATGCTTTATTGCAAAGCAAAATTTCACACAGTAGTGAAATTCTGTTGGTAAATTCACATTAGAAAATGAAGAATAATTGTGGTGAAATCCGAAGCATGTGTTTACCTACTTTGTGAAAGTAAAATAACTTAATCTGGTCAGGCTTCCTTCAGGCTGCCCTATGCATCACCTCTTAAGACAGAATCAGTTTTAATGTCTGTTATATGATGCTGGACCGAATTTTCTGAATTTAAACTGTTTGTGTTCGCTAAATTGTCCTGGATATCAGGGCTGTAACAGCAGGACCTTACAATCTGAAGACAGGAATGGATGGTAAGGAGGCTAACACCACTGTCCCTTATGCTCAGTCTCCCTTTTTTTGAGCATTGGAGACAGCAGCAAGACATTTCTCCAGTTGCTTAGAAACACTTTTAGTATTTTAAAATTATGCTCAGTGAAATTTAGAGAAGGTGAAATCACACCCTGGCATTTTAATACTCTCTCCCCCAGATTTTGGGGTAGTTTGTCTTCAAAGCTTACCAAGACAAGCAATGTGTGGACTTCTTCACATAATACACACAAGCTGCTTGTCTTCGTATCTTTTGTAAATCATGCAGAAGTGGACAAGGATATTTGCACTATGGTTAGTAAAGAACATACCAAGTCTCCTGCGGGGCTTCCAGATTTCATGCCTTGTCTTTGGCCTATATACTGCTGGTGCTTTCTTGATAGTTTTCTAATTCATTTTGTGATCTTGCATCGTCAGAAGTCTCTAATGGTTTGGCGGGATCAACGCTCTCTCAGCAAATTATAAGAGGCTCAGTTATGTACAGATGTGGAGGTCAATAGCCTCCTGACACACTGTCCCTCCTCCTGAGGCATTTCTCAACCTTTTGAGAGCTAAATGACATAGAAGTTCCTTCATGCTCATCTCAAGGTGTTCAGTTCTCCTGACATACTGACCTTCATTCTTTCCTGCTCCAAAACATATCTCAGATAGAAATGCTTTCTGGATTGGTTCATGGCATTTCCAGCTTTAAACAACAGCACTGGAATGGGTGAAAGAATATATTGCCAAAGAATAGTAATCAAATATAAATGCTCTTGAGTCTGTGTTAAGATGTAATTACTTTAAAAATGTGTAAGAGTGAAATTTGCTCTTCTAAAAGGAGAGGAATTGCCATGTGCTTATAATTTAAGTGTTTAGAGGTTATATCTTCCTGTACCTTGGTCTTGGTATACTGCATGGCTATGGCTACACAGCATAGCAGATGTCCTCTACAAAGTGCTTGTAGCATGCCTCCACTTCCTTCTCACTCAGGCACCCTGGTTTCTTTCTGGCACTCCTGATAGCAGAAAGGAGTAGAGTTGTGCTCCTACTTGCATCAGTCTGGATGTGTTCAAGCTACACAAGCAAATGCGGGACCTGGAATGTACCATCTGGCATTGCAGACATAGCGTGGATGGGTTTATTAACGTCTGAGTAGTGACCCCTGTTGACAGCTAGCAGTGGTACTATGGAAAAACATGGGCGTTTTTTGGTTTGGAAAGCTAGAAGCAAATCTTGGCGCTGAGAGCCTGGTCCGAAGGCCGCTGAAGCGATTTGGAGCTGTTCTGTTACATTGCAGATCAACTCTAAATTACATGCTTCCCAGTTCCTTTCCCTGTTAAGAGGATCTTGTGGAGCCTGGGACATCATCCCAGCCCTACAACACAGAAGATCAATCCTGGCCCTCAGACTGATAAACTTTGAAAACTTTGAAAAAGTTCCACTAGAACTAGGCTCCTGTAGTGATTACATACATTTGCAGCCACCTGAACTCTGCTCTTGTCAGCGTTAACTAGAGGAGATAGAAAGGCTTTTCCATCTTCTGTGCTCTCAGCTCACAGACTTCAGGTCTTTCAAAAAATTCATTTTTGGAATTAAATGCTAACTAAACCATTTGGGGCAGTTAAAGCTTTTGAATATGGTCTTCCCTCATTCTGGATTATTATTCATGGTTGTGCTCTGGGAGAGACCAGAAACACAGACTCTCACAGTTGGATCATCTCATCTCTGAAAATTTGAGAAATGAGAATAGACTTTAGGTAACTAGCTGCTTTTTCACACCTTTAGCTTCCTTGAACCCAAACTTTTAATGTCTTGAGAGTTTGCCTGTTATGGGGGGGGGGAAAAAAAAAGAAAAAGGTTTTGAGTGTTTCTATTGTTCCTAGCAGTTTACAAGACTAGTATTCTCAAAAATCAGACTGTAGTGCTGGAGCTTACCATAACCTTTAATTGAGTTTCTGTTCCTGTATAGATATTTTTTTTTTTCCCCTTTCTTTTTTCTCCCTTGCTGCCACTTTCCATTCATTCATTATAGCTTTCTCATATTGGCCTTGCTTTGCCTAATGGATTTTAAAGGAGTATTTATTACTGGACAGAAGAAAACTGCTTGTTCTAGCCCCAAGCCCAAATGCAAGTTTTCTGCATTTACTGAGGACAGAAGAAGATGGCTTGATACCTGCTTGATAAGGAGATTATGATTTGCAGCCAAAATAAATATAAACTGAATTTGAAGGGCAAGTTGTCTGCAGCATTCAGCTCCAAACCTGAGAATACATGATGCCATATAACATGCCCAAGAAATGGCTGTCTCTTCTGAAAATTTACCAGAATATTTTATCTTTTATTTAGCTGTCTCTTTTATCTGGATTATAAGATAGACTTCTTACTCATCTTTATTCCTTTTTAAATTAGGAAAAAAGATCTGCTGAGGCTTATATTTTAGTTTGGTTTGGTGTTGGGTTTTTTTTTCTAAATAGGGAAGGACCTTGAATTTGGTCTCCTGTTGCTTACATATCTGAGTCCTGTGTGAAAAATCTGCAGAAGAACAAATTAAAAATAAAATTTAAGAAATTCTTAATTGAGGGTAGGGAGTATTTTTAACTGGTAGCATTTGGCAGCCAGGCTAACTTCATAGTCTAAATATGAGTAAGGTCCCACAGTAAAATCACACGGGAAAGACATCCTTATTGCTTGTGTTCCTCATGAAGGGAGAGTGGGATGTTGTTTGTTTGTATTTTGTGCTGAGACAACTCAAGGAAGACCCTTTAACGGTTTTATTTTGCAATTCTGTAAACAGAGAGACAATGTTGGATTTGTGTGTGTAGCAGCTGTTATTTCCAAACAGAAGTAATGAATTAAAGACCTGGCTCCTCTAGAAGACAAACATTTACTTTTGGTTTCAGCTAGCACACTAAAAATCAATGTCCCAGATTTAAATAGATGTGTCAAAACCCTGAGTTGCACCATGTCCTGCCATGCAAGCCACCATTACTCTCCCAGCATCTGAGCTCTCAGGTAGCGTTCATCTGTGAAAGTGGATCCTCGGATGATCTAACAGCAGCACACTGTGTCAGCCAGACCTACCTGCAATAGGAAAAGTGGTTTGACAATTTAATGTGATGCTGTTGCTGCACTGAACCTTCTGAACCTACCTCCCCATGTAAGAAAGCTGTACTCTTATGATCACCTTCTGATATAATAGCTCTAAGGGAATCAATGCAGCAGGTGTCATCTGCTG